AGAAAGAAATGAAAATTACTTTTTCTACTTGAAATGTATGTGCTGAGTGATAGTTTTATGCACAGCAGAAGATCAAGATAAAATCTAAGTTCCACCAGGGAATTAAAGAGAGGATGTTTCCATGGACCTCATTTAGTAACAACACTCAACCGATTACTGTGAATTGGAACAAATCTAGAAATTGGCAAGCCTGAAAACTAGCATTCAGAACAAAAAATGGCAAAAAAAATGTTTTAAGGTATCTATTACTTCCTAAATGTAACATTTATAATGCTTATCCTACATTTATGAGAAATCATTATAATGAGAGATGCAGGATTTAGTTAATTTTTTTGAAACACAAGCATTCTGTGCAGTTTGGATTTTTACTGTCCAACACAAAATGCTGCATGTCGAAATAACACACATATGTTGTCATACTATGTAAATTTTTTGTGTACCCACATGCTTACAGGCATGTAACACAAATCTTAAATTACGTCCAGTGCAGTCATTAAAAAAAAGGAGAGGAAAATCCCCACAAACCCTTTAACAAAAGTATCAGATGTGCCTCCTGATTTCACTGCTGTTAAATTCTTTGCTTCTTTGATGAGGACTTCTAATATGCCTCCAGATGGCAGATGAGAATCTCCTTTCTTTCCTTTTTTGAAGCCTCTCTTTCCTAAGCATAGAACAAAGTTGCAAAATTACAATCAGAAAATATGCATACACTGTAAGGCTGATTTAAAACTGTAAATTGTCTTGGCTAGATTTTTAAAAGTGATGCTAAAATGTACTAATTTTAAAAAATGCAGACTGTATCTGGACCAAGCTGATAACAATGAGCTTTTAAGAGAGCAAACCTTGAGGAAACCTTACTACCAGTAGAGGGAATATCATCTGTCTTTAAAAAAAAAAAAAAGAAGAAAGGAGAAGAAAGAACTCTAACCCATCGAATGCAAATGCCAACAAGCAATACTGTCACTGAGACAGTGATATACCTGCACCTGGCATTTCCATGTGCACTCAGGTGCTACCCAGTGATTGCTCTCACTTCAAAGGATTGCTGTTCCTCATGCTAATACAATGCAAAGAGATAGTAATTCTTCTCCCTTGTTCATTGCTGATGAAAATAATGGTTCAAATGAAGAACACAAATAAGAATTTACAGGACTAAATTGCAGCAGAAGAAAACCAGTGTGAAAAATGGAAGAAAATGAGGAGGCAGATTAAGGTGAATTAAGCATGAAGAATTAAGTGAAGTCCCTTACTTGATCAGCTAAACACTGTATATAACTAGCTGAAAAAAGAACTCTCGGACTACAATGCAGACAATTTATTTCTCTGTGGCTGCCCTTGATCATGTTACCTAATGTCTGGATTTGTTTTTTTTAAATTGAGTCAGAGCCATGCATCAACCAGTGACTGCATATTCCTCTTCCTTTCTCTCTCCTTAAGTTCAGTGTAAGAGAAAAGGATGAAGCAAAAGAAACATACACATGTTTCAGAGTTTCCACACATAACTATTGAAGCCAGGTTGGATAAGGCCTTGAGCAACCTGGTCTAGTGGAAGGTGTCCCTGCTTATGGCAGGGAGCTTGGGACTAAATGGACTTTCAGGTCCATTCCAACCCCTTAACATTCTGTGATTCTACAAATGAGCATATTAAAGTATGATTCCAATCTTCACCAGTACCATTACTTCACCCTATGTGAGGATTTTTAATGCAACATCATCACATGGGTTTTAAAATCCTAATTATTAACATTTGTTTTACCTTGAAACTGCCCTAGAGGAAGCATTAGGTTTCTGTCTGGGGGAATATAACGTAAAACCACTGTCAGTTCTCCTTTGTATTGAAGCCCAAAATCTGTCACAGCCTCCACCTGAAGAGAGAACAAACAAACCAACCAGAAATCCAGACAAGGTTAATCATTCACCTTCTGCTTTTAATTTTAATTCTGTTGAAAGAGCAATACACCCACAGAGTGTTTTAAAGACTTCTTAAACACATCAAGATGTACCAGTCCACTTTCAGATAATAAGACATTCCAAATTGGAATGCAATCACATTTTAGACAACTTTCTGAGCTAGGGACTGCAAGCTCTCAGAAAAATAAACCCATCTGGCATTAGACACTGTTCAGTGAACACACAGAGGAGTTATGTAGCATGAGTAAGTGAAAAAAACCCAACAAACTTAAACAAAGAGAAACAGCAAAAAAAACCTCAAACTTATTTCTGAGTCTATAAACTATAACTGATTTAAACTGATATTCAGCCCTTATTTGCACCAGTCAGGATTTAAAATGTAATTAGTTTAATGTATTTTAGAGAAGCCACTCCTGAGTCACTCTTTGACTAGACGTGTAGGGAACAAAGGTGAGGGAGAGCAGAGTGCAGCTTTGAAACAGAAAAACTTCTTAAAAACTGTTATTCCCATTGTCCTCTTTCCTTTCTACACAGCTACTCTTTCTGCATTTCTACATGTTTTTTTAGAAATGTTTAAACCTTACCCAGAAGAATGCAATCAATGCTCTTCAGTCCATCCTTTTAAAAATAATATCAGGCCTTCACTGGCAGGGTACTGAGCTTCCACTCATGTTGTAAGAAGTTGGAAACTACATTTTAAAAACATTGGATGCAACACAGAGAGCTCTAACTTCACTGGTGGAGCTGGGTCTACTCAGATGCTCCCAGCCTGGTCCAGTGAGAGCTGTCCCTGCCCATGGCAGGGCATTGCAGTGGGATGACCCAAACCATTCTGTGCTTCTGTGATGTGATTTCTGTGCATGCTTCAGTGCTCAGGTTTGGGTACAAATGAACAAATCTTCCTGATTTCTTCAGAGGGGCAAAGGATGTGGATAAACTGAGAGGATCCTGCAGCACTGCTGGAGGCACATGAGGCACCACAGAAGCCTTTAAAGGACTTTTTATGGAGGAACATCTGCCCTGTGAATGTATTTCTGTGAGATGTATTCAGCTTATTTCCTGACGTCACACAAAGGTCAAAATTCTATTGCCAAGAGAAAACAAGCAAGAAAAACCCCACCAGGAATTGATGAGGTGTATGCAGAGGGGCAGCATTGCCTCCAGCTCACAGACTGCAGGCTGAGGCACTGACACCTTCACTGGGCTGAGTCTGCACCCAAGGATGGGACAGATGACAAAGCCAATTTAGCCACAGCAACAGGGCCCTTTTGTGACTTTGGAGCATTTTTAGAGCAACACAGGCACTGAGAAAAACATTCCTGTCTGACACCAGTGTCCAATGCCAGCTGCTACAACAAAGGACTAAAGAAAACCTGTAGTAAATGGCTGTGGAATAATTTACACAGCTACATTTTGCCAGTCAGGCAGCTCACTTATGGCCTAAATTAAGCAAGTTTAGGATCAAGTTTCCCATAAAGGTTATTTTTTATTTAATTCTACTAGTGGACAAGAAATGGTGTAAGTCTTAATGTCAGAAAAAAAATTTCAGCCTCTCCTCCAAACCCACATGACTCTATACTGTGCCCTCTCTTTAGCTCGTTTTCTGACTTAAATCACACTCTTCTTAATGCTCATAGAAAAAACACTTCTTCAAGTCTCCAACATTTTCACTGAAGCAGCTAAATGATTCATGATAAAAAAAACAAAGCACTGAATAAATCCCAGGAAGTGTTTGCCATTCCTCCATTCCTGTCTCTATCAGGAGTCCATATAGAAGAACAGTGTGTATTTTGTATGGATATTAACCAGCGCTTCTTTTTTGTTAATTCCAAAAGTAGTAATTGATTTTTTAAAAAAAATTATTTTAAATATCATCCCTGCTGATCAAAACTTTAGCAGTGTTCTAAGTTTAGAAGCATTATTGGTAACAACTTAGAAGGCAGACAAGACCAATTCTGTGTTTGCTTTCTTTGACAGTAAAAGAAGTAATTTAAAAAAATTTTTAATGGGTTTGGAATTAATCAGATACCACCTTCCAGCTGGACTGGCTGAAATGCTTAGTGCCTTATTACTTATTATCCTGAGCAGCAGAGCTTCATTACTCTTTTGGTTATTTTCCTGATAGGATTAAGAGGAATCACCTAGAAATTAATGACAGAGCAAACAGATCCATCTTCCACCTGATAGAAGGGCAAAAATTAAACACACTCTCCTGAAACCCGAAAGATAATATGATTTCCTTAAATGTAATGAACATAGAAAACCCAAATCATTCAGTTAACCTTGACAATATTAGCTGCACACCTTACATTTTTTTGTAATTAGAAAGATACACTTTCTTAAATGTCAATCTAAACCCCTGGAATTCCTGGGGATTATGGCTGCTGCAGGAGCAAGCAAGAGAGAAGCCTTTAATCCTCCAGTTTACAACAGTTCTTTGAATCTCTTCCAAAAATGAGTCCCTTTGCCAAAGCAGGGGAGCCCTGGGCACAGAATTCCCCGTGCCCTTCACTGGGTATGGGGCAAGCTCTTTTCACAGACCAATCTGCTGGTTTATCTTGTGCTTTTGCAGTTAAGGTGAATGAGAGATTTTGTCACATGTGAAAGGTGTAAATCACTTTGAACTAAAAATAAATTAAACTTGTTTCTTGAATAACCTCTTAATGGTTGGGTAAGGGGAATGCTAGGGAAGTTCTTTGTTTTATGTGCTATTTTAAAAGATTAATGTACTTACTAAGTCGTTTTAAATTGGAGTTTATTACAGAATGAATTTAGGGTTTATTTAAAAGCTTTTTTTTTGTTATTGTTTTTAAATAGCCAATTATATGTGAAATATTCATGAAGATTTTAAAACCAGTAAGCTTTTACTGGACTAAGTAATTTTTTTTATTGTCATATTTGACACTTATAAAGTCCTGCTTTATAAAAAAGTTCCAAAGGGAAAAAATAACTAATTCTTGCTAAATTTGCTTCACAGCACTTTCACCAGTCGTGGAAACCCTTACCTTGGGCTGGAGCACAAACCACTCATCGCCCTGATTTTCAAAGTTCCAGGAATCGAATGGAATTTCCACTTCCCCAAGGAAGCTGTTGCGTCCAAATCTGTCATAGTGCCAGACAGAAACCTGCAGGGTCCTGGTTTCCAGCTGTGAGTGACTGATGACATACTAACAACAAGAAAAGAGAGAAAGAAACTCTCAGAATAAGCAGAAATAATATTTTCCACAGAGCCTTTTATGGCTCTAGCTCAGTTGCACCAAGCCCAGAGCAGTTAACAAATGGAGCATGAGAGAAAGAATTGTTTTCCTTGCAAGCAAGATTAATCTAGCCAGAAAGATCATAATTTTAATGTGAAATCTTTCTTTACTGTATGCATCCAGTGATAATTTATCTATACATAAATTCTATCACTATTATGGTGGGGTTTTTTGTATTATTTACTGAGTATTTTTGACTATAAAGTAAATTATGATGCTTAAAAATATGATCCTACGAGTTAATTCCCTCCAAGTTTATGTAAAATAAGCAGATCAATATCTAGGTTGATAAAAAGAAGCCCCACTGGTACTTTCATCCCTAAAGAGAGTCTGCTTAACACTGCTTTCCAGAAAGCAACTTCTCATTTCCAATTTTTTCTTTGTAGCTTACAAAAAATTGTTCTGCAAACACATACAGCAGCATCTGCAAGGCATGCACTGAGCCTATGAGTAACCCTTGTTGGGTTTGAAAGCTATTTAAAAACTCATGTCTAGCTATTAATATATTAAAGCTATTAAAAAAACTAACATTGTAGTCTAGCAAATACACACAAAATTATAAACATCTGGAATTCTGGCTCTATACATTCTACTTTTAGCAAAAAGCTCATTATTTCCCCAACACTCACCCTTCTAGTGTTAGCTAAAGAAACCCAGATGTCTTATTTTTGCATCAGGAGCAATATCTGGACATGGACAAATATTCTCCAAAAACTGAACAGTCAAGTCAGTTGGGTAATTATGTACAGATATCTCTACAATGCCTAGATGACAGCTGTCCCACTGTGAGAAACCTCATTCTGCAACGAGTAGAAGTCAAAGAGGGAAGATACAAGACAGATTTAATTCTGTTTTCTTTTTTTTTTTTTTTTAACAGGATTTTCAGTTGGGATGAACAACACTTCCTTACCTACGCACATTTCAGGTAACCTCCTTTTGTTACAATTGGTATTTTTGAGAAATTTCTATGTCCTAGAAGCAATTATGTTTAGTGCTATATTCCTTGATAAATAAAGCCTAATACTTTATTTTTTCCCAGTTTAGGCAAGCCTTAATTTTACTCTATATCATTTAAAAACAAGGCTATAAAAAGCCTCTCCCTTGGCAAGCAGACCGAGTGTGTGTGCCTGCAAAATGGTTTTGCAGCCAGGCTAAGCCAAGTACACCAGCCAGGGAACATCTATTTGCTTCTATTATAAGAAACTTATTTAAAATGTAACTGAAATTAAGAAAAAAAAAATCAGGAGAAACTAAAAGGAGTTTCTGGTTTCATGGTAGCCTGCTGGATGACTCCTTCCAGTTGGTAGGAAAGGGAACCATCAGGAGCCTTCAGGTCAGGATGCTGGAGAGGCAGTGAAGGGGCAGCAGCCCCTCCATTCCCAAGCAGCTTGTGAGGGGCTCAGAAGAGTTCAGCCTCTCTGGTAGGGTTGGGTTAAAGGAAAGAGAGGAAAGAGAGATATGGGCACTGTGTCCTCAAGCACATCAAGCCCATCGCAACAGAAAATGAACTTCACCACAGGTTTTTAAGAAGACAAATAGTGAAGCAGATGCTAACATTTTCTTATCAAAGTTAGTTCTGCTTTAGAAATAAGTTAAACCTCCCAGAAGAATTCAGATCTAACTGCAAAATGTTATTTTCTCTTCTAAATCAGACAGGAAGTTCTAATCTAGCTTTGTTTCAGCATCAGGCACATAAAATCTTTAAGATGCTTTTAACAACTCTAAGCTCAGACTAGATGGGAAAATCAAGTTTTGAAAGAGATCTATGGAAACAGATGGCATTTTTAACTGTAAATGAGAGAACCAAACAAAACCACTTCCCTAATGCTGAAAGCCACAAATTGCAGCTTATAGGTTTTCTAGATGCTTTTGCTTAAACACCTTCCCTTTTGAGGCATTTCTCGCAAATTCTAATCCCTGTACTGGAACACATATGAAAAATACCTGTGAGCACAAGTGAAACATTCATCAGAGCTTGAGAGAGAGAGACAATTCTCACCTTCAGTGTCTCATTAAATTCCGGGTTGGTGCTGTTACTTTTAATTTTGGTCTTGCGCTTGCTTTGGCGGGACCTATCGGGCAGCAGGTAGGTTTTGACATATCTGCAGAGCAAGGAGCAAAGGTTAGCAAGGAAAATAAAGTGACCAGTGTGAGCAAAGGCCTGACATTGCTGCATCAGCAACACATATGAGGAAATGAATTTTTGCAGTATAAAGAGTGTAAACACATAATAGAATATGTAAAACATGGAGAGGTATGGCCCTTACCTACAAAGTGGTGTAAGTCAGATAAGGTCAGAATAACAAAAGGCAGAGCTAAATTAATTTGTTTATCCTCTGAAATGTAACAAGCTTTCCTAACAATTTCCCTTTTGCCACATATGATTACCAACTGGTCACATATGACAAAATATACACTAAAAATACAAGAGAATTACAAACTTTATCATTTATATACCATAGATTAACCATGATTAGAGACAATTATCATTACTTTCTGATGAGAGAGTTTACACATTACACTGTAGACTATGATGAGAATCTCAGAAAATGTGGTACTTGCAAAGAGAGAGTATGGGCCCATGAAAACAAAGTTATTTCCATTAATCCTTGCCTCCAGAACATCGTTCCTCTCATATACTTCAGTTTTGATTATAGAAGTAAAAGAAACTAGATGCTGCCTGGCTATTCCTTCATAATTTTTTTCCCTTTTAGTATCAAATAGGTTGGTAATTTAAATAATCTTACTGTTTCCCCAGGAAGGGTACATGTTACCTTAAGAAGCACACAGGGAACCCAAACCCAGCCATCAGCAAAATGCTGCTTGTACCAGCTGGATGCTGTGAATTCCCAGGCTTGAATCCCAAGCTCTGGTTGCATCCAGGGTGGGATGTGCTGGGGACACCCAGCAGGGCTGAAGGAAATTCTCAGTGCTTACGGGTCAGTCCTTTGCTTCCTCTCGTCTGCAATGGCCAGGTTCCTGCAGCTCCTCACCAGGATGTTCAGGGCACCAGTTTTGTAGCTGTAGCTGATACTGAGGAGGATTTCCCCGCTGACCTTCACGTTGCCATAGTCACCAGTTTCACTGTAAACACTCACCATGCTGTTTATGCTCGTCTGGAGGGGCACAGAAAAAGGGCTCAGAGGCTGAAACACTTTACTCTTTCCCAAAATCCACTTTTGTGGGGTTTTTTTTGTGGTTTTTTTTGTGTGGTTTTTTTTTGGGCTTTTTTTTTGTTGTTGTTGTTTTGTTTTGTTTTTTTTTTTCATAAAGCTACAGCCTTACAATAACGTCACACTTTTTAGGACTTGCTACAGAAACAGATATATCATAGAACAGAATTGCCAGGATTTGATGTGAAGGGAATAAGTACTGTAGTTAATAGTAGTTTAAATGTCTAGACAGATGTTTTTCCATGCAAGACTCAAACCTATTTATAAATGTGACAGAATCCAAATTACCACCTTTTAATTAATATATGGACTGAAGAGCAGAGAGGCTACATAAATTGTGAGCTTATGTAAGACCCAAGAAGAAAAAAAATAATTTAAAAGTCTTCTTTTAAAAGAAGTAAAAATACTTCTCTGGCTCAGCTGGTCACCTCATTTTTACTGAGTCTCATAAGACAACTGCTGACAGAGCCCTTAGGAAAACTTACATTCCCATAATGGAGATAGTATAAAACCATATTTATTTAAAGTGGCACCTGTCTCTCATTAACAATTCTGAAAGAAGAAGCAAAATTCAACCCTGACCCCCTTTCTACATATTTTTCAAATTGAAAAAAAAATTCAATAATACCACCATTTTTTCTTCTACAGCAAAATATATCATCCCTCAATCCCTCTTCCTTCACATTCATAAAATGCAGTGTACTGCTATAGGGATTCCCTCTTTCAAAAGTTTACAATTAGGAAGGAACTTGAATATTTTTAAAGAAAACTGGAGAAATATCCACACTTTCTCAAAAGCATTTGAGAAATCTGGTGTGCATTTCCTTTTGAGTCATTGGACAAGATTGCTCCAAAACATATAACCACCTGAATTCTGACACACAGGAACTTTGCAAGACACCCAGGTACAGTCTTCAACAAAAAGGGAGAAAGGAGAGAGAAACATTGAAAGTAAGATAGAGCAGAGGATTCAGGAGAACTCACAGTATCACCATCTGCTTCAGGAACATTTAAATATGTCCATTTTCTGTCAGAACCTTCTGGGGAGTTCTTTAAAGAAGGCAGTGCAAAAGATCAAGAGAAAAGAACATTAGACTGCAGCAGTAAGACAGAGTAAGTGCAGTGAGAAATCTTCATCTGTATAGAAAGGTAAAGGAAGTTTGTACTGCAAAGCCATAGTGAG